ATAACTCATGCAGCTCTTTTTTACAAGTATGCAAAAGATAACATGTATTCTGAGATAAAGATGGAAAGGTTGGATACTCCAGCAGATGCAAATTTTGCTTATTGGGACAAGCAATTTTTATGTAGATATATGAATTGTTTAGTTTTCCGTATTTTAGGATGCATTAGTTGTTAAAACATGATATTTTATGGAATACAACGGAGAAAATCTATTGGTTGGCCGTACTGTATGAGTGGGTTTTAAAATGTCACTTCTGTCAATTGTGTTTGATTCAACCCATTATTTATTTTCTGTGTTTTTTAAATGCGTTTTGTACATTTGTTGACTTTTTTCTATTGGACTGAGCCTCTACAGCAATGTTGTTCCACCAGTGTGAATGTTAGTGTGCCTTGGTGCACCTTTGGAAATTACCCAATATCACCTAATTGGTCAAAATATGGGAAAATGATGTGAGAAGATTAGATTAGAAAGACATTTTGGCTCTTGTTTGATTTTCTATTTAATACACTTTGATGGGAATGACTTTATATAATAGTAGTGAAATGCTTTTTTTTATTGAGTGATTGCACATACTTATGTCAGACCCAGGACCAAGACCAAGACCAGGAACTGTACTCAGACTGCGACACAGACCAGGACCCTGACTCAAACCAAGACCCAGATTTGGACCCAGACCAGGACCAGGGCCCATATCAGGACTCAAACCCAAACCAGGACTCACAGCCAGATCAAGACCCAGACTGTATTGTACATAGCTAATAAAGGCTGCAGAGTTTCAAGTATGTATCAGTTTCAGCTGGTGGTGTGATTTTACTAAGCCACTGCTACTACCTCTCCGTTACGTCTTGCTGTCATCGATAATGATCTAATTATGTGTGAAATCCTGTGTGAAAACCGGGATCCAAGGCCTTGACGCTTGGATCCCGGTTTCTGCTCACAGATAGAAAGCGACTGACTTCAAATACTCTGGTCTTTTAAACACTCAAGGTTGTAGACATGCTGTTTTCCTCGCTCTAATAGTCCCTAAATCACAATGAAAGGGCCTTTGGTGGTGCGTCTTTAAATATCATACGGTGCAATAACTCACAAAGTGCACTATTAGAACTTTGATGTGCACAAATCAAAGAGGACGTGGGCAGACACAGGCGGCGTGATACATGTGCTTGTTGTTTGAGCTGCCGGGCGCTGCTCCCAGGGGAGTTTTATCGTGTCGACAGCAAAGATAGCGCTATGACTCGGCTCTGAATTTAGATACGTCTCATTATAAGATCACCGCAAAAACCACGGCCCCTGTTGAATTATTGATATGGGAGCTGGTCAGCAGAACCCACGCCACACATGCATCAAAACAACGTCAGCTGCTTTCTGCTGAGACACTGGATCGCACGCATAGTCACCGTGAACTTAAACTGGAGTTGGAAAGTTAGATATATACGCTCCAAATCGAAAGGAGATGAAAGAATTTGCACTTTAATAATGCATCAGCTTTTATACAGCGCTTTCTTTGGACGCTCGAGGACGTTTCACATGTCATTATTCATTCACTCCATACACGGTGGTGATAAACTGCTACCGTAGTCACAGCTGCCCTGGGGCACACTGACAGAAGCGAGGCAACCAGTATGTGCCTCCGACTACCCTAACCATTCAGTTACACCCCAGAGTTGTCCTAGGCAATGTGGGTGAGGTGTCTTGCCTAAGGACAGAACAGCAGTTTGGCACTTTACAGCCACAGCCGCCCCACTGTGGCACCTGGTGTTCCCAGAGGTCTCCCATCACAGTGCTAACCAGGCCATGCCCTGCTTAGCTTCAGAAGTCTGATGGGATCTGGCTTTCACATGCAGGGATGACCAGGTATTATATCTGATATTGCAGAGTAAGATTCTTAGGCAGAGAGTCAAAGAGAGTGATTAAAAAACTAAAAAAAGTGACATTAATTTAGCTGAAACTGTTGATCTGCTCGTCAAATGTTTAGGATAAATTCCGTACAGAAATGTTGATTCAATGTAATTTTCTGTCAGTCATTCACTCTGTCATAAAGCCTTCATTCAGCTGCATTAGCAATGGACAGAGTAAGACACTTATTTAGAGATTGTCCTAAAAAGAGTATTTTGGACTATCCTGCCTGTTCTTGTAAATCTCAACCACAATCCTCCTGGAAAGATCCGCGTTGAGCCTCCTTAATTATTTTTAAAACTTGAATTTCTCTTCATATTAATTTTTATTTTTACATAAACATGAACGCATAAACATTCACTTTTTGGGGGGTCTTAAACCTTGTGTTGTATTCTAAAAATTTACTTGGAAGCATAAGGTTGGGACTATACTGCACGATATTGCACCATGCATTAATTCTTTCTCTTCATCTAACAATGATTTAGAATATTGCACACAGCCTCCATATCAGCACTGGACTCCCAAGATCCCATTAATGATGCGCGTTCATACAATAGTGTCGTTCTTTCTATGAATAAGCCACATTTTTTACTTTTCATTTGAATCCTCATCAACTGCCAATATCTCTTTATTGTTTGGCTTAAATTTGCACTATTTTGTCTATTTTAAACAAGCAAAACTATCATTAAAAGATTGACCATTATGAGATTTTTCCCTGATTGCCGAACCCTACAGACAATTTCAGATCTCTTCTCACACAACATCTAGATATTTTTCAATAGAAGGTATTACCAAAAATTTTTTCAATCGTAATAATACATACAACATGATTTTTAAATGTGTGTGCATCTTTCCGTTAATGAAACACACACCACATCCACCATAACCCTTCCTGTATGACCAAAGCCACAGCTGTTGTGCCCTCTTCTTCTCTCCTCCCTCTGAGTGTCCCTCTGTCATTTGTCTCTATACGCTGCCACTTCACTCCCCCCTCGATGCTACACAAGAGGCCACTCTCTGCCCGTTCCAAGACCTACGTGTGCTGCTGGCTCTGAGGGCTCCTGGCTTCTTCCTTTCAGCTGTATATTTCTTTTGTGCGCGTCTGTGTGTGCACTGGAGGAAAACTTGCTGACTATAGCTCGAAGCTCAAATGCAGCTGATGGAAGTAACGGTCCGCCTTACAGTGAGTGATGAGACTGCAGGATGCTGAGGAGAGGAGAGAAAAGCTTCCCTCTATCGCATCCAACTAAAATGTCACACAACAACTAACTGTGGTCTTCCCCTGATTTAAAATTGCAAGAAGACATATTCATCAAGGCGCTGTATGATTTTTTGGTCCATAACTATCATTGCCTATCAGAGCAGGGGGAAATAATCAATAGTAGTTAAGACTTTGTTTATATTGATTGCTTCTTTTGATTGCTTTTCTGTGTTGATAGTCAAGGGAGAGGAGGACTCTGGCCGCGGGCCCACTCCCCCGCTGTCATTTGTGTTGGCAAGTGGCGGGCCCGGTTCACTGAGAGCTGGAATCAGATTTTAGTGCAAAGGCTGCAGAATCACTGTAAAGATGGAGAGGGGGGAACTATATGAGATGTAGTATGCACCCATTGCCTTTTGTCTGCACTCATCAACTACACTGTACTATATATGTATCTCTCCTCTGCCTGGGGAGGTGGCATTAGTTCGTAACCATCACTCATAACTCGGGCTCGCTGCGTGCGGACCTGTTGTAGGAAAAGCTTTTTTTTATCACTGGAGGAGTTGGATTTGGAAGTTGCTAATATTCACAGAGAAGTTTTATACGTACAAACAAAACCAAGACAAAGAAAGCCGTTATATGCTTCCATAGAAAGTCTTGAATATACTCCAAAACTGACAATTATATAGGAATCAAAAAACCGGTTTTAGGTTCAACTCCCTTGTCGTTTGGTTTGGGTTGTGAATGCATTTTACACCTCACACAAGTTTCAGTCTCTTATTTTTTGTAGTTTAAGCCTTTTTTAAATTTGTACAGCGGCAATTGCACCTGTACCACGGTTTATTTTGAGTCCCTCCAGATCGAAAAGGAGACCAGGCTTTTTATATGATTTTGTGCATAAGAACTGAGATGTCATAGATAGATAGACAAATGGATCATTCTAAAAAGCTAACAATATCTCATCTCTTGATATAAATGACTTGTGCTTAAGATACAGATACAGCAGTAACATTGTGGTCAGTACTAATGCGTTCACTTCTTAACAATAACAATGTTTAGCAGTAAAACAGATGTGCCGGTCAGAGATCACACTCTGACCGCTGCATTAAATAACTTCCTTGAGTGAAGCGTAGCGCACACACGTGTACACACAGATTTGCGCGGGGTTTGTGCAACTTTGTGAGAGATTCAGTAAATCTGACAAAAGAAAAAAATCACTAAACTACAGCAGGGATATGATCAGTGTGCATCAAGCTTTGTCAAACTTCAAATTTGAAAAGCACCAAGTCATCTATGAAATGATGTGACATTACTTTACAGTACTTTAACAGGTACTTTTTAAATTACTATTGGACTAAAGAAAACTCAAATTACTTGAAATGGAGACTGTTCAGATCAGATTCATTTATTTATTTGCAGGAAAACCACATTGGAATACAGTTTTAAAAGTCCCCAGTGTGCACAAGACGAGTACATACATAAAACAACAATAAAAGTACAGAAATAAAACAAATAAAACAGTAAACAATTGTCACTGTTGCACCCCTTCTTAAAGCTGAGGTCGATCTCGTCTCACTGGGCGCTGGAATTAAGTTTGGACACCCCTGGATCAGAGCCTCTTGCATCCCTGTTGATAACAATTTAGTCTCTCCTCGCCTGATATATACATTGACATTATAATTCCATTTCACTTTTTGTGGAATAGAGCCTGAGAAAATGTCATGTTTTAGTGTTGGCAGGTATTGAAATTGTGTCTGACTGAATTTTATGATATAACACATAACACTATCACCCTGTGGTTATGTTATGTTCTCAAATAGTTCCTTTGCTTAGTAACATTTACCTGCTGGGATTTGAGGATGTTAGAGTTTGTGTTTTGCCTGCACCCTTTTTCCTGCGCTCTCAGCTGTTTGCGGAGAGCGTTCGGAGGGAAGCCTACTGCGGCGGCCTCATCCAGGTGACTTGTAGGAGAGCGCCGTCGTTAAATCAGCCGCAGCAGATGGACCTAAAAGCCAAGACAAAAAAGATGTAATCAATTTAATTACTCTCCAAACAGATCCGGATCAGTCACCAAACCGAGCAGTAGCGTTCGGTCTGTACCCTCCCATTAGTCCGGCTTGCCCTGTCCTGCTCTTAAAAAACCTTGGCTGCAGTCGACCCAATGGACAGCATCACCCCCTCTCCCCTCTCCCCGTCCTCCCCCCTCCCCTCCTTCTCTAACCACGGCCAAAAAAACCCCAGCTAAGCATTTATTCTCTGCTCAGTCTTCGGAAAGTGCTGTAGATGCATTTACACAGAAGGAAGCAACTGCAGCTGAATTAAACAATCTGCATATTCAGGGCCTGTTTGGCAGAGATTGCTCCCGTGTGATGGTGGAGGTACAGTAGGTGGACCTGAGCGAGAGGGACGACCCCAAAGACCCCGCACGAGCCGGACTCTTTGTAGCCCCGGTGTTGGTGACATTCAAGAGGGCATGGTGGTGGTGGTGGTGGTTGTTCCCGGACGATCCATTCAGAACGTGAATGTGATGACAGGAGGCAGAGCGTAATGCGCCGTGGGGCGTCTGAAGGTTACGCTGGTGAACCATTGAGATTGATGAGCTGGTTCTAGGGCTGTCACAATACTACACTTCAAACGAGCGAATGTGATGCTACAAGAAATATTCAATAATCAATTCATTTTTTGTTATGGGGGCGCAACGTTTTGTACGAGTTTGAAAAATGTATCAAAAAATACTCAAAAATTTCTCGTTTCAAACTCCCATTCTTGTGTGACCACTCTCAAAGCATCTGTTTTTTATATTTAGGATTAAATGTGTGTACGATTGTAGCGTTGTCCCAATCATTTCAGTTTTTGTGACTTAACCTCTACTGTACGGCTAACTTTTAATTTCCCTCAAGTTGTATGGTCTCATTTAGAACAATTGGAATTATTTAAGTTATTTAAAAACAAAAAAGGGAAGAAAGATAGAAAGAAAATCACTTGAATTTGGGAAAATGTCTCTTGATTTGACTTTATTTTGAAGATCTGTCATTGGAACAAGCCAGTATCTTTGGTCTTGTTCTCAGCAGAAGGAATATTTTCTCATTCCAAATTGGACATCTCATCTTTTCCATCATTTATGAAAGCTACAAGTGTCAGATTGTGTTAAACTAGAACAGATAAAATCACACAAAATTCAAGTTTATATGTTATTGCTGTGGTTATTCTTTTATCTGCAAGAATAAAAAGTAGAAGTTGAAAGACGTTATAAATGTTTTCTGAAATGTGAGGGAGATCGAGTTGCAAATGAGGTCATTGTGTACGTTTCTTAAAATGTAATTTGCAAAAAATGCATCCCTAATGTGCTGCTTATACATATTGATATGAGTACTAGTCTGTCAAAGTAAAAACAAAAACATTCTATTGCAATAACCCTTTACATGAAAGTATCCTGATGTATTTATTGAAGCAGTCGAGCAGGTGAAGTTGATCCACAGCTCTACGTTTTTAGTACACAAATCAATACATTGTGCAACGCCGTATTAGTGTCACATTTTTAGTTTTAAATAAAAAAAAACTAAATTTATGAGAATTCAACAACCACTAAATAGCGTAGCTGATAGAGCAGTACGATCTTGGCTCTCAAGATTAGAGTTTGAGACCAGTTTCAGGCAACTTATTTTTCAAAGGGAGACGACGATGGAATGAATGAATGAATGAATATACATTTATAACATTTATTTACAGTCACAAAGACAAATGTACAGAGAGTAAAAACATAAGACAAATCGTCACAGACAAGGTGCCCTGGCTGCAAAGTACCCCTTGCCCGGTCTACCCCCAAACTCATCACACTGTTTGCTTCACAATCCAAATCTTCCTCTTGTGAGCGGGGAATCCTGAGGTGTTCCCGGCTCAGCTGACTCCGACTCGGGTGCGGATCAGGACCCCATGCAGGTCCTGGAGTAGTTATAGAAAGTGCTTAAAACCAGGAGCTGACCCACACTGACCTCGGAGCACAGCGAGGAGGAGTGAGGGAGCAGAAGCATTCCGCACTGAGTCTATTTCTGTCGGACCCGGTCTCCTGTTGGAGTGAAACCTGTCCTTGCGTTGATCCCTGTGAACCTGCGTGGTTTTGGACAACACTGGAAATTAATGTAAAGCAAAATAAGGTCAGAAGCTGGTCTCCGTCCCACAACTTCTTAAACAATGCCATGTACTAAATGTTATGTGGATTTCTTATTCTATTTTTACTCTTATAACTTGTTTGTACCGAGAGCCAAACACTTTTCCTAGTTTGTGACTTCTTGTTTCTCAAAGGCAATAAAAATAATTCTGATTCTATTCTGAATATAATCAGCTATAGTTGACCTGGTGTCAGTAAACGCATTGGACTTGCAGATTTGTGCATTTTAACCCAATAAATGAACCCTTTTTTCCTGCAAAATTACTAAACTCACTCTTAATTGGTAGTTTTTCTTTAACGATTTAGGCGCATTGGTTCAATTTGGTTTGAAGGTCCTAGGTTTGGTTCCACCTCCAGGCCTTTCTGTGTGGAGTTTGCATGTTCTCCCCATGTCTGTGTGAGTTTTTTTTTTCTTCATCCTACTGTTGCTTTTATATGGAATTCATTTCTGTTGTACTTGCTGGATTATTGTGGTATTTTGTTGCATTACCATGAAAAAAATTGGCTAAAATATGAAGACTAAAGACTTAAAGTGGCACTAATACGCCTTCATAATGCTGTGTACATCTTTTAGAAACTTCCTTGAAAGCACAGAGGCCAGGTCCAACGTTCCAGGAGAAATATCCGGACGCTTGTAAATGAGATTGCTTTAGAAATGACACTATACAGGCAGCAGGAGCGGGCCGTGGCGGAGAGGGTGGGCACCGGAGATATATCACAACCACCAACAACACTGTTGTTGGTGGTTGTGATATATCCCCTCCACCCCACCCACCCCTCCCCTTTTTGTTTTCCTTTTGTAGGTAAGCGCCCGTTATGTAAGAAAGAGTTCGGAGGGATACATAATTTTTTCCTATAGGTGACGAGCTCGGGAGGGGGAGGGCTGCAGGGATGAGGTGGCTGCACGGGACGCTGAGTGAGACCATACGTGATGCGAGTGGACCGGAGAACGGATGACAGATGTTCGTTTTCTAGGGGCGGCCATTCAAGGTCTGAGAGGACATATGGCAGGTCACTGAAGGCACTGTCTGAAGTCATTATGTCACTCATTATGGACCGCGCTGGCACTGAAGTATGGGACAGTGAGCTTTAATGCTTTGGAATAACTGTACATAGTTTTGACCTTGCTCACGGAGCCTATTTGATTGCCGTTTTTCCTCCCGCGAAGAAGACAGGGTTATAAAATGGCTATAGGCCCCTCACCAGCGCTTTATAGAAAATGTTATGGAAATGAGAGGTGTAGGATAAATTAACCCTCTGGTGCATAACGGTCACTGCAGTGGACAGCTACTAAAACGTCATTTTCTCTTTAATGCATTGGTTTCTATGGTTTAACTGCATATCAGCCTCTAGAGTGCTCTCTGCTGCCATACTCTATTGAGGTCAATTCAGTGTTCAGGCGGTGTAACTGCAAGTAAATTTCCTCTGAATCCAAGATGGCCGACAAACAGCCACCCCTGCCGACCACTGCTGGCATATCTTGTCAATCCTTCTATTCTGGAAGAGCCCCACTAGTAAAAAAAATATGATGATTTACAGTAACATCTAGGGAAGGATATTATCTGTTTGGAATATGAAATTTGTATGTCCAATATTTAGAAAAGTACGATTAACCATATGTCCAATGAAGTGGACATCATGCATTACCAAGAATATTTTTTTTAAACAAGACATACATTGCCTCACTGTTTCTTGTGACTGTTTTGATTATAAATCAGTGTATAATTGTTATATTTACAATCTATTCATTTGAATATACATTTCTATGCAGATTAGATGTAGTTTGAGTTACTATATTAATTATTTTATCATATTTTGTAGAGTTCAAATGCAGCAAAGAACAAGGCAGCGTACAGAATAGTCCAGGAAATTCCATCCAACTCCAGTGATGATGAATTCAGTGATGATGAGTGTAGTGACATCAGTGATGAAGAGTGGCTGCCAGAGAAGAACAGAGACATGGAAGCTGAGGATGATGGAGATACAGACAGTCAGGATGCAGAAAGTGAGGATGATGAGGGTCAGGATGCAGAGGAAGGTCAGCATGATCAGGGAGCTGTGGAAGATGGGCACATGGCACCTGACCATACTCAAGCCCGCAAAAATATCTGGAAAGTCCAAGACAATGACTTTGATGGAGACCTGCCTCCTTTTCTAGGAGAGTGGAAATTGAATGTGGAGGGAAAAGATCCCATAGATTTCTTCAGGCATCTGTTTCCAGCAGATCTCATTGATGATATAGCATACAACACCAACTTGTATGCTCTCCAGAAAGGGAAAGAAAATCTGGCAGTGACAGGAGAAGAAATGCAGATTTTTTTAGGGATCAACCTGATCATGGGGTACATTCGGTATCCTAGGGCACGAATGTACTGGTCTAGTGACGATGGCCTTCGTCTTGGAATAATTGCAAATGCCATGTCTGTAAACAGATATGAGCAAATCCTGAGATACCTACACTTTGTTGATAACTTGACTTACCAGCAAGCGAACATGGATAGGCTCTTCAAAATAAGACCATTCCTAAGTGCACTTCAGGAGACATTCAAGGCAGCAGCAGACCCAGAGGAATTTCAGTCAGTTGATGAACAGATCATTCCTTTCAAAGGTCTACTGTCCATCAAACAATACATACCAAAAAAACCCAAACCCTGGGGAGTGAAAGTGTGGGTGAGGGCAGGAACCTCAGGCTATACAAATAGATTCGAAGTGTACCAAGGTTCTGCAAGTAGTGGTTGCATCAGTGGATTGGGAATTGCTGGAGATGTGGTGATGCGTCTTTGTGATGACATAAAACACAAAAATCACAAGGTGTTTTTTGATAACTTCTTCTGCAGCATTCCACTCATAGAAGCCTTGAAAGACCAAGGCATCTACGGCACTGGTACATGCAGGGCAAACCGGCTGAAGGGAGCAAATCAGAAACTGAAGAGTCAAAAACAACTGAAAGAAATGGGCAGAGGAGCTTGCTCTGTTGTCAGCAATAATGCAAACATCACTGTCACACGTTGGCTCGATAGTTCAGTCGTTCACATGGTCTCGTCCTGTGCTGGCCAGTCCCCTGAAGATGTTGCCAACCGATGGGTGAAGAAGGATAAAACAATGATGATGGTCCAAAAACCCTTCTCTGTGGCTCTTTACAATCAACACATGGGTGGGGTTGATCTTGTTGACCAATGTCTCGCAATGTACCCCCACAGACGTCGAAACAAGAGGTGGTACATCCGAGTGTTTTTTCATTTTTTGGATGTGACCATTGTAAATGCCTGGCGCCTCTACCTGATGTCTGGTTTGGAAAAGATGAGACTCCTCCTCTTCAAAGCTTCTGTGGCTCGTGCACTGATAAATAGTGGCACCCTCCAGCAAAACAAAAGAGGAAGACCCATTGAGACCCCACAACCCGTGAAGCGGAAAGCAGTCACCAGAGTAGCACGTGAGGTGAGGTTTGGTGCAGGATATCACTGGCCTCAACTCACCAAGGTCAAAAATGCAAACAGATGCCATGATGCTGCATGCACACGGAAGACCAAATACATCTGCATGCACTGCTGTGTGCCACTGTGCCCTGGATGCTTTGCAAACTTTCATACAGCCTAGGTGTGATGAACATACTGTAGAACTGTTTGGAGAAGCAGAGATTAAAATCTCAGTTCGTGTTTTCTTCCATGACAATATAAGGGCTTGATAATACTGTCCTGCATCCTTATAGAACTGTGGAGACTCAATAATGTTTCTCCTGTTGGAGATGGTTTGACATATTCAGGTCTAAGATTCATGGCTATGAGTGTCACTGGTTTTCTTATTCAGGCCTAAACACTGCGCTTATACAGTGTTGAAATTTCCCAAAAAATGCTGAAATGTTTTACAAAGCATAAAAAGAAACAAGTGTTTGCATATTTACAATAGAACACAAGTTAATTAATGTTTACAGTAAGTTCACAAAATTTCATGTTGAGTGCTGAGGCGCATGTAGTCCACTGGATTGGACATGTCTGTAACTTTATGAAAAAAAAGTATTTTTGGAAAAACAAAGTTGGACTCTTTTTTTTATGTCCTGAGAAGAATAAAATCACTTCAGAAAAAAATCTTGACCAAGGCTTTCATAATTCATGCATCAGAGGGTTAAAATGACCTCTTTCCTCAATCGAAGACATTTTGTTGTATATTGAGACATCTTATAACTTCTGTCTCCACTGTGTGTAAATCCTTGTGGTTCAGGTTTTATTGTGGGCAAGAATGTCTTAAGATAAGTGCCATGGCAACACCCTTCCCCCAACGACTCTACAACAAGGGAAGAAAAACCAGTCTGCTTTGGAACCACGGAGTGACCAGACCTCCCTGGGCTCTGCCCTGGGCTCTGCTCAGGAAACCAAGGGGCCTTGGGCCTCTTAGATGGCCTCAAACCTCAGCTCCACGTTTGAGAGGACTTCCACAACCCTTCAATAGCCTCCAGATACAACCTGAAGAAGTTTCTGAGTTTTGGCACCTAGACTGTGGGTCGTGGGAGGACTTGGTTCAGCCACATGATGCAGCCGCATGGTCCAGGCCCCGTGGACAAGAAGCCTCCATCCAACGCCATCAAGACCCAAGGACTGCTATTCACCAAAGGCTATTCTGGTTGTATGATCTGCGCTCTTGCTACACACAGTTGTTGGCTTTATTAAAACCTATACTTCAAAGAATACTTCTCTTACCAAGGCTGAACACATGCAGGCCTCAGCCTATACCAATCCATTCATAGACAAAGGCCTTGCTTAGCTCACTTTAGCCTAGCATTTTAACAATGTATCTTGAAATCAACGTTTCCTTCATGTTATTCTTGACAATTTGCATATTTCATATCTAGTCTGTATTGTGTATACTTAATTAAATCTACAAAACCATCTTTGTCTGAAAGTGATATTTGTACTTTTAACTCCAGAAATTGGGTCACTGATTTGTAAAAGAATTCACTACCTTCAGATTCTATTGAAGAGAATTGGACTAATTAGCTAATTAAATAATGAAAGGACTCATGAGATTACTTAATCAATAAATGAGCCAATTAATTGATATTGTGACGTCATATGCACGTTATCAGTTGGGAGTTATTCCCTGGTGCCCCTAAATAAAGCTATTATCAATTATTGTATTTATTACATGGTTGTTTTTATCCAATTCTCCGATATCAGGTACATAACTTAAGTTATGTGTGATATCGACATTTTCTCACCCTACAGAGGTGATCAAATAAGTTGCAGGTTGAAGGAGGAAGTTGTAAAGAGTACGCAAAGGACAAAACGGAAGAGTCAAGCGTCATGAAAAGGCGTTTAACCAGGAAAGTCCCATTGAGATCGAGAAACTCTTTTTCAAGGGAGTCCTGGACAAGAGGCAGTATATTATTTTAATACTAGAGCATAAATACATATAAATATAAGAAGTATAAACGTTCTGGTTTTATACTTTGATTAAGATAGAAATTAGGATTTTAAGTATAGATTTTTGCTATACTTATCATACCTCTCTTAATCTTAATCTTATGCATATAGAATAAATTGAAGTCGAGAGTGTTGTGAGGAGTAGTTTTTTTCGCTACAGTATATGAGCAGGACCCAGGGACGGGAACCCTGAAGACGTTATGATACTCAGCCGTCATTCATGTAATCTTGATAAGCCGGTGGCTTTTAGTTTTTTTTAACTCAAAAACTAAAAGTATTTGACTAAGTAAGTAAGTAAGTGAGTAAGAAATGTTTATTTATACGGCGCATTTTACCGACCAAGGTCACCCAAAGCGCTTTACAATGTTCAGAGTTCAGATATTTTTCCATTCTCTCTCCACACGGTGATGACAAAGCGAGACACCGACCATCCATTCTCTCAGTCGTTACATTCATACCTATTGCAAATGTTTTTAGTGGTAGGGGAAACTGGAGCAAGTGGAGGAAACCGACACAGACATGGGGAGAACATGCAAACTC